AAAATATTTCTAAATAGTTTATAATTTCGATTTAAAGAAGCCGACCCTGTCGGAGACATCTCATTTGACTCTTTGCTGACCACTATGAGAATTATACACTTCATTTACTTTGATTTGCCCAACGTGTGGGTTCTATAATGTCTGCAACACACTAATGTCTCAAAACGTTCGTGTAATTCATGCTACGAAAGCTTGAAATACTTTGTTTGGACACACAAATATGCCGACATGAAGCTATTATCCCAAAAATTCAGCGAAACGGTAATCTATGGCTTTGCTTTCTTCTCCATGGCGTTCACCCCAGTCGCTCCTTTCGAGGCGCACTTTGGCCTTGGGAATGAGGGCATCACATGGTCCATGTGACGCACTGGTTCAAACTTTAACCAACCAAGTTCTCGGTAATGGGCCTTGCCGCTGGGCTAATCACCAACTTTGTTGTTTGCACCAGTAGAGGTGCGCACGGCGGTTGTCATGGCGATGGCGTCCTGACTGCAGCGAAGAGGCGCAGTGTTGTTACAAAGTGTTGACAGTGCAATTTTACCCAAAAAATAATTCAAATTGCTATCCTCGTTATGTTTTGACGGTGGCGCAGTGGATCTACCCGGTGCTATCACTAGACGTAACTAGTTCTGAGGCTGCATTAGAGTATGGTTTTGAAATATGTCCAAAGGTGGGACACTCGCTCTAAAAAAGACAAGCGGGATGGGAACGGTTTTTTGGGAGTATAGCTATGCAGCAATGCAAAGCGTGAAGTGTCGAGATAGGCGCACGGTAGGAGTGAATGCTTCATCATTTTTATGGAAGTTGGAAACATGTGTATATTGAAAGCTGCAGGTTTGCAAAGGCCACTGAGCTCGCATTCAATTCACGCCAGAACTAACAGCAATTGGTATAAGTTGGGGCTTCACAGTAATATAAGCAACACCAACATGCCCACAGGGTGTAAAGACGAAATATCCCTTGCCTACCTACCTCATACACAGCCACTGCAATATGACCTTTGTCCGTCTGCAGTGAAGTGAAGTCGATTGCACAAAATCGTTTACTGTCACATATGCCTGCCGTCTTACGCACAACTCACAGTAGACGGGTCCGTAACAAAGCGTTTCACTTTTAAACAGACTTTTGAAAATTATTTGTTCCATGCCAATTTGTACTGCAATTTTGCGCGTGGGTAAGATGCCAAAACATCATATCTATCTTATCTTAAGTTAGTGTATGCTCAGCATGGTTGAAATTAGTAGCAAACCTAGCGATTAGCGTTGAGGTCTCCCGTTCACTGCATCTTTGAGCACTCGCAAAGGTTCGTCAACAGCTTCATGAAAACTCGTTTGACTGTGATTTGATGACATCGATAATTGCAAACGCTGTCAGAAAATTGGCAGAGGTAACAACAACAGAAGCCTTCACATTAAACATGTCATTCGGCATGTTTCTGCTAGGAGCGTTGCAACATCAAACACCGAGGTCAGCGAGGTCTCCTCTCGCCGACGGCTTAGAGGTCATTCGCTCGGTTCCATTCCGCAAAATGTGTCAATGCTGAGTTTATATTCCTGGTCAGTGGTGAGCAGGAACATGTGCACCACCGTACACCCAGGTGGCTCTCAAACCACCGCGGTTCGGTGCCGCAACACTCGAGCGTCTTCCGCGGGCCGTCATGTCCACCACAGTCACATGCGCAGCTCATGTGGCCCGAAGGGACAGCCACGTCACGACAGGCTGATGTGGAACAAGATCCGCTTCACGGCATCGGCCAGGCCGTTCCCCGTCGAATGGCGCGGCAGTCAGGCGTTACATGTGGGAGCTTCAGGGCTGATTTCACCCCAGACCGATCAGAAAGAAACACATTGACACGTGCCAATTTCGGTTTTGATGGAGCCTGGGGAAAATAAAACACCCTATGACAAATGAACTCAGGTCAATTCGGAATCAGAGCTAAGTATCATCTAACATCGACATTTTTTAACATCCCCATAACTTGCGTCAAGCTATTGAAGCCTAACAACTTTTGCATCATTAACGTGCGCTTCAAGCCTTTTTTCAAATATGACGGTTTTGCTGTTTTACATTAACCTATCCTTTGAGTTGATAGCGTCAAATTAAAGATATATGGTTTTAGCCATTAAGTGGTTGTTTATACACGTGTTTGCAACGCGTAGGCCAGATTGGGATGACAGTATATGATGAGCTTTGGATGCGTAGAACATTATGATCCCGTATTCACGAGGTGCGTTTTGCCCTCTGTCAATATACATATATGGCCTGGCTGACCGGATTCCATGGGTTGCAAGATGGATGACCAAATCAAACGCCTGAAGAAACCTTAGTGTCAAGCTCTATGACTTTTGCACGGATTGTTTTCAGATCCAAGCGTCAGATCAGGTAAAACACGATCGTGTCCAGTTGTATGAACTTCACATTTGTTGCAAGTCCTGGGTAGTGTTATCGCACGTCCGCCTACACCAGGATCGTGTCCCAGAGATGGCAAAGGTCACCCGAAGCCATATTGGCGCTGCCCCTGAATGACCTAGAGCTTGAATGATTCAGACTAGAAATCAAAGAAAACTGTACATTTCACTGACAGGTTATGTGATGATTTGCCTTGCTTTCGTATATCTACAAGGGTCTGTCTCAATGAAAGGTGATCATCCTGCTCTGGCAATTCTCTTCGACCAATGGTCTGTCAGAAATGCACCGCTCAGGTGCGTACGTGCGTGCATCAGTTCCGATACGCCAAGCGTGCTGCCGATCACAATATTAAACCAGAAATGGCCATTAGAGGGAAGGGAATGGTGAACGATGGAAAAAGTGACGATCATAGTGAAGATAGCAAATTGGTGCCCCAAACAAGGATGAACTATTAAGAATCAGTTTGGATGGTTGTGTTTGGCAGCACTGGAGGCATCAAGGCGTCTGCCCGCAACGGTGAAAACATGCCAATGTCACAGACAGAGAGACAACATCCTTACTGCACGGTATATCGCGTCACAATTCGCTGAAAAGTGGCCACAATTTGCGCAGTTAACACGGGCTCGGGGGGCCGGCTGGATATCCTTTGCTCTGGGGGGGTCAATTTGACCCCTTCTCTGAGATCTCCGAAACTAAGGGAGCTAGGGACACCAAATTTACAGGGTGTGTTGACCTGTACGTGAACTTATTTAAGTCAAAGTTTCAGATTTCTAGGTCATGACCTTCGGGTCAGGTAAGGTCAAGCAAGGTCAAATTCCAGGCTGGTCTCCAAAGTGCCCCAGAACCTAGATAACAGTTTCTTAGCAAAAGGTCGCACGTTCATTCCAGGTCAGCGGCCTTGTTCGACCTTTTGAAGGTCATGGTGACCAATATCATACAAGATTGCTCTGAGTTTTGGTTCTGAATAAGCGACAAAGATTATGTTAGACGGTTTGTTCCTAAAAACAAAATGTTGCCCGGGTCACTTTAGGTCAATGACCTATTCTGACGTTTAAGAAGTCCATGGAAGATATATGATGCGGTTCCTGCCACCAATAAATTTGAAATGAGCACCAGAAACTATCCCATACAGCAGGCCTTGGAGTAATAAAACAGGTTGTTTTTTTACCTTGGTCTGACCTTCATACCTGACCTAAGTCAACGTAATTTGCTCATTCAACTGTCGTGCTGTCTAAGAAAGCATATCAGAGACATATGACTTTGTCTAGCACTCCGTTGTTGCATCAGATTGAACGATTTCCCATAAATTGACCCCGCAGAAACCATGGTTTGACTTTGACCTGCCATAGGTCAGCAACCTTTCAAGGTATATCAAGATTTTTATATCAACCGATCTGCTATTCCATTGTCTACAGCTATGCAAAATTTGGCGCGGGCACACCGCGCCGCCCACTGGTCCCTGATCCACTGGCTCGAGTCCTCCCCCCCCCTCCCCCTCCCCCCACTTAGGCGGAAGACACTGCTTTTTTCACCATATGTGAATATTTTCAAAGGGGTTGGTGCCAAGTTTGGACATGAATTATTTCCAGTTTTATTCCGACAAAGCTTCCTCTGAAGACCGGTGGCCCACCTGCCCTCCACACGCCGTGACTTTATTGTTTCTGTCGTGGCGGGTTTTGCTGGGGCAGGGGTCATAGCCGGCGACGGCTGATTGGTCGTGCCTGGGTGATACTTGCAGTCAAGAGAGCTGCCGAGAGGTGGACATGCTGGGCACGTGTCTCCATATTTCACATGCGTGCCTACGTGCCAGGCTTGTACCGCTTTGGCCGATATTCAACTAGCCCGGAGGGAGGTCCGTCACCGGACTTGGAGCAATTAAGCGGAAGTTCCGGTCTTATAATGCGTAATTTCAGACTCGAACTCGACGAGACGGTCGTTATAGCTTTGCATTTTCACACACATGCACACGTGCTACGTCGCCCGGTACAAACGGTCTGCATACGTGCCATGTTTATGCTAATTTGGGCGGTTTGCATCACGTCCGCAGGGTGGTCCGTTACTGGACTTAAAGCGATTCTACGGAAGCTCCAATCTCATGAGGCATATTTTCGGTCCTGAAACCAGTGAGACAGTCGGTACAACTCTGTCAATGCAGCATACATGTGCACCTGTTAAGTGAGTATTCAACATTTATATGGGGCTTTGAACTGAAATAGCTATCTTGAACATCTTCCGGTGCTGTTCACAATCCTGCCCTACTTAGGACCTAGGCCACCTTAGTTTCTAAGCTGCAGGCCCGCGAAAATGTCGAGAGTATTTCGGGGAGAATGTTTCAAAGTAACCCTGGCACTCATGAGGTCATAACAACGTCATTTAAATACTGCCATTCCATAAGCCGTGCGGCGACAAAAGCGAAGACAAATACATTTGTCGAGGCATTCATATCTGGCGTTTGTAAGCAAGATTTTAAGATATGACAGTCGTCAATTGTCTCTTAATCAATGTTGTGCGAGGTACGATGACGTAATTAAGCCATGACGCGTTGAGGGGCATATTTAACAAACAGAGAATTGTGCTGTCCAGAGCAGTCTTTTCCACCTAAAAAGCATACCAATGCTTATAAGTGAGCTTGTTTCATCCTATCTGATGCTCGCCTCAATGTTTTTAAATGTGGAACATTCCTCCAACAACATTTTTCAAGCAGCTGGAGAATTAAGCGGCCGAAACCTTGTGCACATACCAACACACCAGGCGACCGATTGTCCGAACAATTAGTCAATCCGTGACACTTGTGCCTCGTCTCAATCGTTCCGCAAAGCTGTAAACGATAAACCCTGCCAGGCGTGGTCCTAGTTGTTCGTCAACCTTGACAAGCGTGTTCGCCAAGAAAATATTACCTTGCAAACCCGCGCAATCTGTCGTGCACGGCATTTCCAGCTCGGAGGTGGAGAAACCTCGTCAATTCACATTAAGTTTGCTAATAACGTACCCCTGCTCAGCCCTTGAACTCGATGCGATTGCCTCGAGTTCAAATTTCCCCAGCCGTCAGACACATCAAGCGCGGATTATTTGATCGTCTACACTTTTCTTGTAGGGGCTGAAATAAGCAAGATGAAGAGTCGAAATTTCACGGTCTCCGCCGGCGTAAGTTGTTAGTGATTCAGGCCGGGATACTGCCGACTATTTGCAACACTCACTCCACAGATACCCGAAGAGGTACTAACACCCTACTTAAAAAACTCAACCTGCACTTCAGTCTAAGCGAGTAAACGCCAGAACTTTCTTTACATTTGTATAAAATGCGTTTACCAAGTACATCAATACTTGTTGTCTGGAGCCCGGCTTGCTGCAGACGTCGTCATCTTTCTCGATGGCGCATTGAAAGAAACAGTAAACACGCTCACATTCCAAATCACGAACATAATCACCAAACAGAACGCGAGACGACTTCTTCCGGCCTCAGAACCGTACCGAGGTCGAACTCGGTGAATTTACAAGCTCGATACAGGCTAGTAATGTCGTCTTTGGTTTCACCACTGGTCGGGCCAGACCGGTCGCACGCACGGCGGGCCGCGCCGCTTACGTCACCGCATGAGCATTGTTCGGTACGAGGATATCACAGATGTGGGTGGCGCGTGGCAGGCGGCCGGCTAGGACCTGAAGAGTCGCCGCGAGATGGTGCTGGTGGGCCCGCCGGGATTGGCGCTGTCTCGCCGTAGTCGCTTGTTGAGCTTGCGGACGAACTCGGCTGCCACCGGGCTCCAGGAGGACTTGTCCACTAGCGCCCGGAAGATCTCCTGCTGTTCGGCTGTAAAGGGCAGACGGCGGTGGATACTTCACGAAAATCCGATCTAACCGGAGAGCCTCGGTTTTGTTCATAACATAAACCAATGAAGACAAATAATCCCTGGCTGACCTGCTCCATACTTAAGATGTGTTTTTAATGGTATGAACTGATAAAAATGTAAGAAATCCCATTTTTCCACCTTCGAGTTTCCTCTTCAAGTCGCACACCCGTCCGAATGACCGAATATGCAGGATGGCCGCTGGCCACGTCATCCCCACCACGCGCGCCGCGTCCCACCTCTCATGCGGACTGGCATCAGACTGAGCAGCTGCTGGTCCACGTGACGCGCCTGGCTGTAGGCGACGTTCTGGAGCCGGGCCAGCGGCAACACGGCCTCGCCCAGCAGCTCAGACTCCACCAGCGTGTGATGGTCCTTGACCGTGAAGAGCAGGTGACAGTCGCGCGCCACCAGCCGCTCCCGGTCCACAGAGCTGCCGAGTCAGGCCCGGTGGGGGTCAGATGTGACCGGTCAGGTCCCGTGAAGAGCAGGTGACAGTCGCGCGCTACCAGCCGCCCCCAGTCTACAGAGCTGCCGGGTCAGGCCCGGTGAGGGTCAGATGTGACCGGTCAGATCAGATGGTGGTCATATGTGACAGGTCAGAGGTCAGAGCTACCCGACTGGGCTGGATGAAGGTCAGAGCTGTTGGGTCAGGTCAGGTGGAGATCACGGGTGCCGTGTTTGGCCATGTAGAGGTCAGAGGCGCCCGTTCAGGTGTCGAGTGAGATCAGAGTCCCTAGGCCGTGTTAGCTACAAGTCAGGCATGCTGAGGTATGTCAGGTGATCATGAGTGAATCGGGTGATGATGAAGTCAATGGTGGCGGAATAGGTCAGACGGTGGTAAGATGCCAGGTCAGGTCAGGTCAGATGAAGATATGAGATGCCGATTCAAGTCAGTCTGAAGAGCTATGTATCAGCTCAGGCCGAATGGGGCTCAAGGGTGTTACGGCCTGGTCGTGGAAGAAAGCTCGAGTCGACGGTTCGAGTTAACTGGAAATCGGAGATGCTGTGTCGGGCCGAGATCGGAGATGACAAGCCTGGTCAAGGTCAGGGTACCAGTTTGAGAGAGGTGGAGGTCAGCACCAACGGGCAATGTCAGATGGAGGTCAAGGTCACCATTCCATCATGGGCAGAGGTTACAGAAAGCTATGGTTCAGGTCATGACGTCAATTGGAGTTGGGAGCTGCCACGGCAGGGAAGGAAGCCAAGGCCTCTGTGCGCCGGGTCAGCGACGTCTTTGTGATTGTGATGACCATGCCCGAACACTACTAAGCCGTCTGTGGATTTCCGTTTTCCGCTCAATGGAGCCGAGGTAACTTTAGGATGGCAATGTACTAGCGCTGCTTGTAACATGCCGTATAGGAAGCTAATGGAAATCCCTAGCTTGCGTCAATGAAGTTAGTCCAAACTGGTTCGAGAAATTACAGGTAGTCAGGAAAAGACTTCTTCTTCACTGAACTTACAACTCGAAGACTTCGTCGAAGAGCGGGAAGATGGTCTTCTTCTGGACCTTGGTTTGCACCTTCTCCATATTGGGCGCCAGCGTCTCAGGCAGAATCTGAACCTTTACGTAGGCGTCACAGGCTGAAAAAAGACACAGATCATATTGCATCTCTGCAACTTAATCCTCCTAGCACGTATTGCCGTAGATCATAGGATGCTACTCATTTGTCTCATCAGCAATATCCTAAAAGATCATGATCAGGAGTTCTGGCGAACATGAGAGGCAACCACGTTCATTGATGTCTGAATACCCCGATTACACGCGTGCGCTCGGTGACGGGCTGGCCGTCATACGAGCGGGCCGGTGCTCACTGTCTGGGTCGGACGGCCGGATTCCACGCGCGTTGAGCACCTCCACACGCAGCACGTTGTCGACGAAGAAGGCCTTGGTGGAGAGCTTGCCGTGCAGCGACTCGTCCAGCTCCTCTTGAAGGTCGTATTTACGCCTGGAGACGACACATTACACTCAATAGATGAAAACCAGGACGACCAACTGCAACATTATGTCATAAACGTGACGAAAGTGGGCAATGCATTGCGTATCACTTGTCATACATTGCTTAAGGAGACGTGGAAGTTCCTTTGGCCATTGTGCGTTCTGGTGGTAGCAAACCCTGAGGCAAGTTGTGCCATATACAAAAGAGTGATAGTCTGTTGCCGTCAGCCACTCTGGAGGTTTCGCCAGGTCTCCATCAGCATTCTCAGGGCCACTCACGCGTAGTACATGGCGATCAGGCGTTCAGGGTCGCATTTGTAGATGTTGACCCAGTGCACAAACTTCTTGTAGGTGTCTGTGTGAATGGCATCCATCGCCAAGCCCTTGTCGTCGCCGTTGATGAACTCCACCAGCGCGTTCACCAGGCTCGAGATTGTGGCGAAATACTCCGTCTCCTTCTGCGAAGTAACAAGGATGGCATCAGTACACTGACTGACGTATCCGCCAGATCGCTTGAACAAACAACACAGGTACGTTGCGTGGTGTAACAAAGTAAAGTTAATTGTCGGTAGAAGGGTCGGAACAATTACCCCTCCCCCCTGCCCAGCATTCTCCCGCCCGTGTGGCACAATCACGGGCAGGACACGGCTGCCAGGGGCCTGCAGCAATTACCCCTCCCCCCCTCCCCAGCGTTCTCCCGCCTGTGTGGCACAATCACGGGCAGGACGCGGCTGCCAGGGTCCTGCAGCCTGCTTACCGCACCTTGCTGTAGCGGGTGGTGTTGTCGACCACCGTCTTCAGCACCTGCACCCAGATGGATTCGAGCACTCGGCGCAGGTTGAGCGGGTGCAGACGCGGGTAGAGCAGCATCAAGTTCGTGTCCAGGTAAGAGATGATGTTGTCGGCCGGCACCAGGCGGCAGTGAGGCTGCGTCAGCTGACTAAGGTAGGAGTGCACTTGTGGCAGCATCTGCGGGCGGGGCACAGCGTTCACGGGTTGCCGACCGGTCTACAACGCGTCAGCAGTGACGAGCGGGACAGAACAACTCTCAGTGTTTACAACAAGGAAAACCGATGCTACGTCGTTGGTGCTGCTTCACGCTACGCTGAACAAAACTTCTGAAAAATATGTGTGCACTCAGTCAGCAACGATGACACAGCAAAGGCCATATTCGTAGAATATAAATGCATTTCATCAGTCATAACCCGGTAGGCAAAGAATACGGGTGCGCCTGCGGCACGCCTCGACTACGAGCGACTGTCGTCAGCAGTCACTCCGCCTGCCCTACGACGAGCCGCCTCCTAGCTGTGCCACTCGCAGACACTGTCCATAGGGCTGGTGAGACCCGGCGTTACAGACTGGCCTGCTCCACAGACCTTGTAGTACAGGCTGACCTACCCCACGGACCCTGTGTTACAGACTGGCCTGCCCACAGACCATGTGGTGCAGACTTACCTGCCACACAAACCTATTGTTACAGACTGACCTTCCCCACAGACCCTGTACTACAGACTGACCTGCCCCACGGACCCTGTGTTACAGACTGACCTACCCACAGACTCTACACTACACACCGACCTGCCCCACGGACCCGGCGTTACAGACTGGCCTGCTCCACAGACCCTGCACTACAGACTGGCCTGCTCCACAGATCCTGAGCTACAGACTAGCCTGTCATGCAGTCCCTGCACATTAGCCTGCCCCGTAGACCCTGTCCCACAGACCCTGCGCTACAGACTGATCTGCGCCACAGATCCTGCATCACACACTGACCTGCGCCACAGATCCGTCCACCATGTCGCTGATGCCATGCTCCATGTCCTCGATGGCCTGATCGATGACGTTCTGCAGCGTCATCCGGCACTGGATGGTACCCTGCGAGCCGAGCTGCTCCTCCATGGCCGAGAACACCTGACGACGGCGGCAGCAGGGCGCGGTCACGCTGCCGCCGTCACAGCGGCCACAGAGGGAGCGGGCGTGAGGGCTGCACCAAGTCACCGAGCAGTCGCAAGCCGCCGGTGCAGCGCCTCAGGACAAGGGTTCGCTGCTGCAGGAGAGGTCTACATACGCCGCCGCTGTCACAGCGGCCACAGAGGGGGCGGGCGTGAGCGCTGCACAAGTCACCGAGCAGTCACAAGCCGCCGGTGCAGCGCCTCAGCACAAGGGCTCGCTGCTGCAGGAGAGGCCTACATACGCCGGCCACCCACTGCATTGAGCTTGCTTTTTGCTCTGTTGCCACCCGGAAATGCAATGACGACATCGACCGGCACCGAAGCGTAACGTTCATCACATGACGACAAGGCCACTGCGCGTCTGGACATGAGACCAGATATCGGGTGGCGGTGCATGCACGCGGCCCTGAACAGTAAACAAAAAGCGCGACTCATCATGAGACAACCCGGGGCGTCCTTTCGCCGCTGCCGCAAAACGCCGCTGATTGCGGGAAGAGACGGAACCCTGCCTTGCTACTCACTGTTTCGAAGCCGAGCTCGTTAGGCAGCGGATGGATCTGTTTCGCGCACGAACTCCACGTTGTTCAGAGCCAGGCACAGCTCCTGGGTGAAGCTGAAAGGCCGGGCGGCGCAGAAGTAGCCGCATGCCTTCAGGTGCCGGTGCATCTGCGCCACGTAGAAGGTGGCGCTCCTGGTGATGTCGTCCAGAACCTGAACGGAACAGGCAGGCCCCGTTAATCGGCCGGCCGGCCAGTATTGCTGGATGGAGAATGTGGGGTCGTGACGTGGTCGCCTCGGTGGAAATATGAACTGTGCATCGCTAGTATGGCATGCGCGTACATCCGCGCTGACTCGCTCTCGTCCCGGCTCAAATCACTTTCAAGAATGAAAAGCTTCTGTCGTTTAACTGATTTAGCGCGCGGCATCTCCAGATCACATCGCACGGTAGCCATGAACCACATTTGTGTTCCACCCCGAAACGCTGAAATCGGCACAACTGTACAGATGCTATTTTGCTGTCAAATCTGCCGAAATGCTGAAAGGCTGAAAGACACAGGGAAGGAGGAAACTAAAACAAAAAGACTCATACATCACGTTTCGTCAGGGTGAAACCATATAGATAGAGATGCACAAATATTTCGTTGAAGATTTCATGCAGATGGCAAAATCATAAAATAGCACGTCGCTGATGTAATACCACCACCCCTTCCACACACCCATCATGTTTCCATCCACACAACCACCACATCAGTAGCACTTTGGCAGATGCTGGACACAGGGCCGCTGCTCACCTTGGTGACAAAGCCGTACCATTTTGACAGATGCCGGACACAGGGCCGCTGCTCACCTTGGTGACAAAGCCGTACCACTTTGACAGATGCCGGACAAAGGGCCGCTGCTCACCTTGGTGACAAAGCCGTACCACTTTGACAGATGCCGGACAAAGGGCCGCTGCTCACCTTGGTGACAAAGCCGTACGAGCTGATGGCGTCCGGCCAACTGAGCTGCTTCCAGAACGTCTTGATCTGATAGAACACAGCCACAGTGTCCACGGCCGAGCTGCTGTGGTTCACGAACGTGTGCACCTGGGCGGAGAAGGCGAGAGTCGCTGATGTGGGCTGGCAGTAAGTCGTCAAATTCCCTTCGGAAGTGTCGCACTCCTTGTTAAGATTGCGTGGACGTTGACCGACAGCCGGAGGAGAGGCACGGGATGGGTTGGAGCAGCTCCGTTGGTTGACGCACCTGTCTGGCCTGGTCCAGCTCTATCGCACGCTTGATGCGATGCATGGCCTTGTAGCAGGCTATGTCCAGCCACCGATTGACGGCTCCGGCGAACCACAGGTACGCGTTCTGCAGGGGCGACTCCTCGCCTTCCACTTCCGTCTCGGGCAGCTTCTCTCGCAGACTGCAGCAGCGACACGCACACAAACATTCAGGAGCTCCGTCAGCACCTCTTGGATGCATTAAGTCCGACACACCTTCAGCGCAGGATTGCACTGTAGCTGCCAGCGCGTAAAGCACCGGTATACTGTGACATACCAAGTTATGTCCAAAGGCTGCCTTAAAAGCCCTGCTGTCGACCCAGCAGGACCACCATTTAAAAACTTTCGCTTCCCGGAACATTCCCAGGCACCTTTTCACACGGTAGCATCGGCTGAAGGTTGACCGTCCCCGCAGGCCTCCTAACACTCAAGCCCGGCTTAGCTCGCACCTGGTGAACAGCTGGACGGCCAGGTACAGCTCGAAGAGCGAAGTGCCCATATCGAGCCCCTCAGGCGATGAGAGGTTCTGGGTGGCGCCCTCCTTGTACTCCACAGGTGGGCAGCGAGCGCGAGATCTCGGCTACGATCGGGCCGATCTCCTGCTCCAGCTGGCGGGGGACAGGACGGTCAGACCGCGGCCTAGTCAACGAGGCTGGGGGCCGAGCTGCTCCCGCATGTGGCGTGGAGATAGGCCTGCGCCAGGGGGTCGGACCTGGAAGGGGGAGGGGCGGGGACCGACCTCCGGTTTCAGCCAGCGGGGAGGCGGGGATGGGCGACGTCGGACCGGGATGGAATCAAAGGAAGGCGACGTAGTGGAAGCTATGCGAGGCGAGTTATAACGCATTCAGGCAAACCAGAGCAACTGCCTCTTTTTCTATGATACCGATAGCTAAGGATAGGAAAGCTGATCAGCCTATTACCTCCTGTTCCAAAAAGCGGCACTTCCTTAGCCCTTTCATCTGGTGCAAAACGATACAATAATCTATATATCTCTGATTCGCTTTCGAGCTATCAACGCAGTTATCTGGTACCTTCTCTGCGAACTGCAGGTACGCTATGGAGAAGTAGTTGATGCCCAGAATGCGACTGAAGATCTGGTTGTAGCTCTCTAGGCCTCGCTTGACGTCGTTATACAGCATGTTGAATGAGCAGGATTAGGCCTCTGGCAACGGGCGTCCTGCCCCGGATGGTCCTCGCTCTCCTTCTTGGTCGAGGTGTAGACGTGTCTGTACTGCAACCGCGCGGGATTGGTGATCGTGGCGGACGTTTCTGCTTGTCGCCCCGCAATGTGATTGGTGACAGTCACCAACGCACGCTTCAGAAAGCATTCCTAAAGGCCATGGTCTGGAGTTACAGTGTCGCCTCCGAGTAAACACCACAGAACATCCTGGCGTGTCGTCAGATGATATGGTGCTGAACTCGCGAGCAGGGGGAGACCGCCACCGCTCGGTTCCGGCCACACACCAACGGCTATCTGTCGTGCCCTGCCGCGCCACGGCGGCCGCATGATGCACACAGATTCCCAAGGTACGATTCGGCTCATGTGCTCCGAAAATTATGCCCTAGTTTGGATCACTCATCAGCGTCCAGGCAAAAAGGCATGCTTGCGGGATTCTAACAGACACCGATCCTAACTACTCTTGGACAAGAGATTCACGCGGAAATTAGAACGGGGGGTCCAAACAGTAGTGACCTTTCCTGTCAGCACTGCAGAGCACTCGATCCGCGCTGTGACTGAAAAGGACATGTTCTACGTTGAACTGGCCAATGACAACTCAGGAGACTCTCAGACAGCAGCCGCCACGGACCAGTCCTCGTTGCCGTGGCGCAGCGCTGTGAGCACATGCCGCTTGGGGTTGCACGCCTTCTCCTCGTTGGAGATGAGCGGCATCGGCGTCCTCCAGCTTCTCGGCCGTCTTCTTGATCAGCTCCGGGAACTCGGACAGCAGCACCAAGCACCTGCGGGCCGCACGGAACCCATACGCGTGTGGCAGCGGCGGCCTGCGAAGCTTCTCAAGATTGGGGGGCAAGCCTCAGCTTCCGTCTCGGTTTCATCCATGTGACAACAGGACAATCAATGCTAAAAAATAGCGCTAGAACAGACAGGTTCGTGTCCCAAGCACTAACGAACAAACAGGCTATAGTCGGGGGACAATCAGGTGTGTCTAGGTCACAGAGCGCTACTCTCCGCGTGGCCCTCACCTCCCACCCGGCCGATCACAACCAAACACCGCCGTACCTCGCCCACAGTACCGGGCGTCCGCCACACCGACCTGAGCAGGTACTCGATGCTGTAGAAGCCGGCCGGGCCCTGGGAGCTGAACAGATGCCGGTGCATGTGGATCGTCTCGTAGCAGTGGTCCGTGAACCGCTGGAATGTGTCCAGGAACCGCGTCACCTGAAAGACGGATGGACGCTGTCTTTAGAACGCCGACCCTCACGATGTGACTGATGACCGTGGGTGTCGCGTTAGCGGATGAACACATGAGAGGGGCAGCTGGCCAGTGGGATGGTCGAGCTCACGGGGTATCTGCCACGTTGTATACACCTGTGGTTCCTGTACGATCTTTAAGTGTCTGGCATAAAACAGGCGCAGCCGAATTAATTAATTTTGTGTGGCTGATTGCCTTTGTTAACTTCATGGTGCACTTCTAAGAATGCTGAACCTAGCAATGAGATTGATGTGACCGGGAGCGACGAGATGACAGATTAAAGGCTTGCTATGCAACTAGCCAATCTTTCGGCGAGGCGTCATTTTCACGTTCTGGCATATGTGAGGCAGCGTCCTTTAAAAGGACACCGCTGTACCGAGTCCTGCACACTTAACAGCCCGAACCACCTGCACCCCCGCGTCACACCACGGTCGAGACCGCACGCTGGGTCCCCGAACGGTCGCTCACATCGCTGGCTGTGGCACCGCCCTCCAGCAGGCACTGCTTCACGCTCTGCAGCGTGCCGAAGAGAAACTTGTAGTTGAGCGGCGCGGTGCAGTGCACCTCAGCGTAGGCGGACCAGGCGGCCACCAGCATTTCGGCGCGGCTCATGTTGCCCCAGGCGGCATGCTGGGTGAGCAGCGAGCGCGCGGCGGCCGGTAGCAGCTGCTCGTGCCATGTGTAAGGCGAGTCGCTGTACTGGCGCCGCGCAGCGCCCACCACGGCCAGCTGCAGCCGCTCGTGGCGGCGCACGTGGTCGGCGCGCTGCTGGAGGCGCACGTTGTGGTAGCGCAGGCGCAGCTGGACGGTGCCACGGTCCTTCTCGGCCCGACCGGGCCGCTCCTTGGAGGTCAGCTCCCGCGCGCGGCGCTGCAGCTTGTACGACTGCTCCACGCCCAGCGCCGGCACCTCCTGCCGGTCCGAGGTGAGGGTCACCAGACGGCGTGAGACGGGCTGAGGGAAACTAATGTCGTGCGTATCTGATTTGCGGCGCTTGGACGCAGACGCCTCCTTCAAAAGCTAAAGGGGGCGACCCCAGAGTTGCTTGCAACTACAAGTACAATCGGTAAGCTCGATGGGTGCACTGGCAGGCCTGTGGGATAGGCTTACCTTCAGTTGGATCTGCACGTGGCCGAGGGAGTCATGGGTTTTCCCCTTGGTAACCTCCTTCATATAGCGGGTCATGCCCTTCAGATCTTTGATTTCACTAAACTTGCCGATGCGCTGCTTCAGATTCTCGTCCATGTCGAAGTCCCACACCTCGACTTTAAGCACGTCTGTGGCCGGATTGCTGAGGGCTCTGCGAAGAAGAGGGTCAAATAGTGTCAGGCGGATTCCAGCAACCGAACATCCGGAGAGACCTGCAAAATAATCGTAGTTCTTCGTAATTCGCATCGCAATGCTAGAACATCCAAACAAAGATCCCCAAATGCAGCGCATTCAAGAAAAGCTACGACTGTTTTCTGGCTAAATGCATCTATC